GTCAGGAGAGTGTGGATAGAGTTCTGTTTTCCTGTCCTTCACTTTAGATCATCCTTTCTCAGATCCGAGTAAAACTGCTAAGTCTACGCACATTTTATTACTGTCGAGCGAAAACATGGAACAGCTTTGTGGCTGATTTTATTGGTGTTTTTAACCCAACCAAATTATTAAGTAAGCTCCTCTCCAAAAGGATTTGCGGGATTCAGCTCAATTGTGGTAGCGGGAACACTTTAAAGGTTTTATGATCTTTTGAAATGGGTTTGCATTCCCTAAGTACTGGACTTTAATGTTTGGGTCATAATAAAAACAAAGAATTCCTGTTTCCAGTCATGTTTCAGCTGCATAAAACATGACTGACACAACAGAAAGACCAAGCTGACTTTAAAGAGACTGTCTGTCTATTTCTCCTGAGTCATCTTCGGTAATGCTGCTCCAGTTATATCTGGCCTGCGGCAGCGTGACCGGGCATTAATCTCTCATCACGGCGTAAGAATGCAGCAATGTTCTGATCAGGCAAAGCCTCTGTGTGTGGAGTTTGTTTCTTTTCTTTTTATTGGTGCTGCGCTTCTGCTGTGACGATGCTCAGCAGGTCAGGCTGCAGATCCAGTGTCAGTGGCTGAGGAGGTGAAGAGTGCAGTTGGTTGGGAGTCAGTCATACCAGGGTGCAGCACATGATGGGATGCAGAGGGTTTTCTCGCCTCTGACATTAATAGAGCAAGTGTGTCCCAGAGTTCCTTTGTCACTTGACTACGATCTTTTTTAGGAACAGGAGATGTCCTTTCTCTCTGCTGAGAGTGTGTGTGTCCTGTATAATAGTGTTGACCTTTGCACCACAGTGGATTTCCGTCATGATAAAGCCGAATGTTCAATACAGCTTGTTTCTGCCACTGGTTTTCACATCTTTGTTCGAATTGCTAAAACGACATCTAAAACGTCACATCTTTATCCATTCTGCCTCCTAGGACTAGTCATGTGTTTATATTCACTCTAAATTCTGTGTTTGACTGAATTGCAAATGACATAATTTTACAAGTTTAATATCTCTGTTTACAGACGGTTGTGCACAGTTACATTCAACACGATAAACAACATTTGCAGAGAGCTGCAGGGATTTTCCTGCTTTTGCAAAAGTTATAGAAACTGCAGTGCAGATTCTTTCAAATATTATTAGTCAATTTATTGAACATATCAGAAACAAAAACATACAACAATAGCTGTCAAAATTATCACGTTAACGGCGGTAATTCATTTTTTGAATTAATTGCGTCAAAATATTTAACGCATGTGCAGAATGGCCCGCCCCATACATCCCACCAGTGGCAGCGCCAGGGTATGGGGTAGGCTACAGCCATACCAAGAAATGGCTTAGCCCCACCATGAAAAATGATGTTAAAGTAAGCAAAATAAAGTCCGCCAACTCGCGCCGAGTAAATTCCACAGACAGCAGTTAGTAAGATTGATTTCAGTAGCCACTTGTCTGGAAATACCGAAGAGCATAAACGGTTTTGAAAACTTTTGTCCCCTTTTTCCCCTCTTATTGTGGATGTGGCATCATGACTATCAGAATATATGAATAGTTAGTATCAATCGCCGACCCCCAGTTTGGCCCGGTTCCATCCGCTTTGTAAAAATTTAGTCTAAATTAGTGTCCAGGGAATTTTAATTAATTAGTTACTAATTAGTGGTAAGCTTGTACAGGTCTTTATACGGTAAAGAAATCATATAACAACAGAACCCTTACCCTTTCTATTTACTTTCTTCCGCCTATATAGGTAAATTGTATGTCAATACATAGCATACAAATAATATTGTAACAAGACACACAGTTTACTTTCTGTCGGGTGTTGGATAGAGTTAGTAGTTTGGCACCCCCAGAATAAGTAATGCACAAACTAAAGATAGTTGTCGCATGATTACAACAATTTTATTTACTATATATCTCTACATGATGTCGTTTTCATGAAAAGGCAGCGCCTGAAGGACGTTGTTTGTGGTGCGGCAATAGCGACTAGAATAA